TTTTTTTTTTTTTATTTATTTATTTATTTATTTAATATAATATAATTTTTTTCTAAAAAAAGTACACGTCAGAAAGCTAAACGGCGTCGTTTTTTGTTTTTAATGCTGACTGGAACTCTCCGGCGAGCCGTGTCAGCGCCACATCGGATTTCCGGCGAGCCACGTCGGCATTAGCACTAAAATGATCGTTTTTCAAAAAAGTTGGCACCAAAGTAATCCGAAAAAAAGTTATGGCACCAAAGTGATCGCCGTACACAAGTTATGACACTTCTAGTGTCCTTTTGCCGAATGAAAAGTGTCGAATTTTTTATTCAAAGTAAACGGCCGTCATATTGTATATCTAAATGCTCCATCAAATATGTTTGCAAAAGTCTAGGTGCCACTAGCTATATTTAAGTTAGGAACGCATTATGTCTATAAGGCTTAATAAACGTGTTTTAAATTAAAAAGTTCCATTTCAAGTAAATTTCTTTCTTACAATGCGTGATTCTCTTTTTCCAAAATGGCTTGAAAAGTTTTAGGGTGCGTTAATTTCGCAGAAAATCAAATCGTTATAAGTGTACCGGTTTTGGGTTTTTAGTAGTAAAAAAATTAATTTGAGGTAAATTTATCACAAGGTGTACCGGTTTGGGATTTTTCGTAATATAAACCAATAATTCAAATATGATAAGCAAGCTTTAAATCCCGATGATTAATAACAACTATTGATAGATTGACATTCACTATTTTCACACTTTTCTAATCATTTAAATTAGATTTTATATTGTGTATACCATCTCCAAAGTTGGAAATTTACTTATATCCTTTGTTCTTTCTAGTCTTTTTCCACATGCACAAGCGTGCAACTCTTGCTTGTCTAATAGCTCTTGTGATGTAGACCTGTAAATCGACCATGCATGAGAAGAGGCTTACTTTTTGCTATATAATAAAACCCTTCATTGCATTTTTGTTTGTACCAGAATATGATACTTTTTTGCCGGTAGCCAAATTACCAGGTTTTAGACCTAAACAAGTCCTTAAACCGCTTTATCCTGAGTTTCGTCCGGATCTTGGGATTCTCAAGATGTAAAGCAACAAGAGGGTATTCCCTCCTCTCGAGAAAGACAAAGATTTGGAGGGAATTAGGGGCACGGGGTGTGTGGGCACCGACACATTAAATTAAGAAATGCATCTGTGGGGCTCACCCCACAAAATAGTGGTGCTTTTTTGTTGGTAGCCAAATTATCAGGATAGGAATTATTCACATTACCTTTAGAGAGCGTTAGCGATTGGGGCTATTGGACCTATCGAAAATTTGGTTTGTGTTCTTTGATGCCTCCTGCCACAGTCTTGTCATGACTTTGGGATGCCATATCGTGATTTATGGTGCATTCGTTCCGCAAAAAAATGAATGATTTAGACAATATTTTCGTATAAATGATCGCTCGTATCGCCTACATTAATGAATTAACGAAAAATATGTTCATCCAAAAAATTTTATACATAAATTGTTTTCGATAATAAATATATTTTTCATCAATTCATTATTTTCAGCAACACAAGCACTCGTTGAGCCTCAATTTAATTCGAGTTTGGGTGTGATGACCGCAAGAGACTGTTTTGAGTCTGGGCATTCCTGAACACATGTTGCTATAACTAGACATCGAGTGCAGTCCAAGTTTCTCACTTCTAATCTTGCGATTATTCAGGTTTCACGTTTAATTCAAGTTCAGACCATTTAAGTCTCAAACATTCTCTCGCTTTCGTTAGACACGTATATTTTAATTTCTCACCCGTACATGCATGTGATTAGACTAAATCTGTTTTACTTCGACAGATACATATATGATCGTAATAAATTGAGTTCAAGTCAATCACATTTCAAGAATCGGTGGAGATTGACTTTAGTAGTACACAAAACGCTCATTGACCTTATCCAAGATTTTGTAGATTATTTGTTGTGCAGTAGAGATCGATACGGGCCCAATAACAGGAACGAAAATGTATGCATTGTTGTCAAGATGTATCTCGTCGTCCTTTCGCTAACATGTTGCTATTTAGTTTATCCGAATGAAAACGGGAGAGATATGCAAGTAGATAAACTTCCGAGTCTTGATCGATTGCGTGGTCACTTACGTGAGATGTATTCGCATATAGCTTTGGTTGGGAGGGTGGGGTTTTCGGGTTCCCTACAATGCAAGCAGAAGGATGTTGTGGTGGTTGATCTCTCAACTATTTCTGAGGCGTGGGTGCTTAGCAAGGGAAGACCTTCGAATAGTTGCTTGCGTGACTCATAGTGGTCAAAATGCGCATAAGATCATCACTTTTAGGGATTTTCATGTCATTCATGGCGTGAGAGATGACTGATCATGAGCACCACCAAGGATCACAACCGTCCACCGTCCACCGCCACTCAAAAAAGTGGCTTCCACCGCGACAACCGGCTCTTGCTCTTTCGTGTCGTAGTTTTAGGGCCCGTTTGGGCGAAGAAACATCGTTTTCCGACTTTATTTTATTTGGATGATGGAAAACTAATCGATCCACGAAAAACGTTATTTATGGACTAAAAATAATAAGTTTAGACGGGGGAAAACTACTTTTCCATCTAGTAAAAAGGAAATTGCTTTCCCTAAGTCATCAAACAAATGAAAACCGATTGTTTTCTTAGAAAATGATTTCCATGGAAAATATTTTCATTTATCATGGAGTTTTTAGTGAAACGAACGCATCCTTGGCGTTTGGTTTTCCGTCACTTCCGAGCCTACTCTCATGTCTCAACCATTTCAAAGGTTTTTCATCATATCTAATCAAGCTACATAGAATTTCCCGCATTAACGCCTCGTAATCCTTTTTTCTTTTCTCTTTTCCCTTCATCTTCATTCTTCCATCCTAACAAGTGGTCACTTTTAAAGCCCTCGCAAGTTGAGATTAGCAATCTATATGAATCCAAAAGTGCCTAAGTTCCAATTACTGCGTACTGATTAGGAATTTCTCCCGAGGCCAATTGAAAATCCAATCTTTGATAGCATTACCGCCTTTCTTCTCACCGGTACTCATTGATCAAGTAAAAAGAAACTTCACTGCTATGTGTACTGTAAGGATCTGTTGTTGCCCTGCCAGCAACAAGAATGTTTCCGATGCTATTATCGTTCATTTTGGCGGTCCATCTCAGTATGGCCATGGCATTGTATCTGACCGTGGGCGATCACCCTACTCAATATCATTTCATCGGTATATCAGGGAAAGAAAACCCGTAGCGTGTAAAAAACCTCGACTTTTACCCTCAAGTTGATTTTACATAATCTAAAGCATCTTGCCAAAAAAGAGTCAACAAATGTGCGTCGCAAGATTTGATAACGAAAAGTATAAATCTACTAATCAGAAACAAAAAGTCTTTAAAACCCTTGTACCAAAACCAGGACTCTCTGTGTAACTCTAAGTTAATCCCAAATTATAATTTCGAGGGTTTTCTTTCATTGCATAAGAATCCATCCGATTCATCTTGTATGTCAACTGGGGAGGCAATACCCATTACTCGTTTTTGCTGCTAAGTCCTCAGCCTTACCTAATCACTTCCTCGCTACTGGTCTGGTCCTCCCAGGCAGAGTCACAAGAACTGTCCTAGGTTTCGAAATGGCGACCGAGGAAGATGCCAATCAGCTTCACCGTGAGAATGGTCATATGCATGTACCCAGAAATCAGATTCCAATATGTCCAGAGCCTCACAAGCCGCTGCTTTCTCAAGCCAGCTATAAACTCAACTATATAGTTCACCTCTGCTATACAAGGAAAGTAAACATGCAGCGACCATAACGAACATGCAATAGCAGCTGCTCTACCTGCTACACGTTTAAGCATATATGTAGACAGAGATTGGTATCAGGAGAAAGAATAGACTTGGCACAATCGTCAGGCTCCACACAATCCATCATGCAGCATACTGCTGATGGAATTTAGCTATTACAGGTATTAGATATAAATCCCCTCACGAGAAAGCTTCAGTCAACCTGCTCATAGAGTTTTCTCTCCTTTCACGAATATCTCTCCTCTTTCATTTGAGAGTTTCGGTATATAGAGCGCATTAATGATCGGAATGGGAAGAATTAATGTTGCCAGGTGAGAAGTCAGAACAGGAAGGAAAATTCATGTTTTGATACCAATTTTTTTTTGCTCACTAGTCGTCACTACAAACTTCTGGCTGACATAGAGAAACCGCATGTAGGGGGGACCTATATTCTTATTACAAGAAAGTAGAAGCAACTTGAATGTACAACCTAATCCTGCCAATCCAAAAGTTAACTAGAAGAGTACCTACTTGTCTGCCAAAAGTGGACTAATCTATATGTTCTCCTGGCAAACCGTGGAATACAGTTTTAGGAATCCAATCGAGTTCTAGACCTTTTGATTGGTGCAAATAAATCCTCCAAAGAAGGATACTGGGAAGGGTCAAAGCGGCATTAAAAAATTACTGCTGTGGCCACCCTAAATAGCTTTTCTTACAATAGTTTTAGGATTTGACTGCAATAAAAATTTAGGAATTGACTGCATCAATTGACAGGTGTAGGACTTGATTACAATTTTCATAAGTTCACGATTAATTGCACCCATTAAAACATTTAGACTTAACTGCATCCTATAATAAAAACCTAGGAGTTTTGGTGCAATTCTTCCAATACAGAACGAACTCACCCACTACGACATTGAGGTTTGCTTTGCTTCCACACTGGACATGGAAGCTAAGTGAGCTGGCATAGGCAACAATGTTAGCGCTTAATCAAAATGCTTTTAGATGTAATCCAACATAAAGGGCAGTGATGAGTAAATATAATTATATAAACTAAGGTCAACAAAGCTGGGGGTCACTACTCAAGTTTAATCAGATTGCATTCACTGAAAGATATCTCCATTCTAAACTAATAGAGAATGAATTCATTCACGGGTCTCCGGTCAGTTTCAAATCATCTAATCATTCCTGATGAGCATTTCCAAGGCAGGAAATCGACAGTACATTGCACCAAAGCTAGTGAAGGGGAGACAGCCACTTATGATTTAACCAGAAAAATGAGTATAGAATTCAATGCCATTAACTTAACATCAAATCTTGAGTAGTTTCCATTCATCAGTTTGATGAGCTCAAAGATTTCCTAAGACTCCGAAGGATGCTCCACATGAATGTGGAAATAAAAAAGAGGATTATACCAGTCACAACGGCATATTTGAGTCCAAGGTTCACAAGCAAATTCACCAGAAGCCCTGCGAGGACAACGCCGCAAAAATTGGCAGTCATTGCAGGCCAAAAGGGCATGTCCAGAACTGAAGCTATGATAGCTCCGGTCCAAGCCCCTGTTCCAGGAAAAGGCACAGCCACAAACAACATGAGGCCCAGCCACTGAAACTCTTCCACAGGGCCAGCCTTCTTCTTCGCCCTCTCAAATAGCATCTCAAGTAACCGGGACGCCGATCGGTTCCTTCCAGCAAGAAAAGTAGCGAACTTCTTCAAGTAGAGTATGATGAATGGTACGGGCACCATATTCCTACAATAAGTAAGACCAAAGAGAAATAATGTCAGACTGTAGCTGGTGATTCATTCTCAAAGCTGAAATGCACCTCCCTCCTACAAAATGTTGCAAACAGTTCGAAGGTAAAAAAATAAGCATCAGTAGCCAACAATGAGGCGCAAATATCATCCTGAACAAACTCAAAGGAAGTTGACATAGTCCAATGATTAAACTAGCCACGATCATCAACAAAAAAATTCTAATTACTTAAAAATCCATCTTAACCACGGCATATCATCACGCAGTTGGCGGGAAACTACATAAAGTGAGAGGGGCTGCATTTGGAATGCAATATGGCTCACAGCATTGTTAATCCAGACACCAATTACAAGATCAAACATTTAGGAAATTAGACTGACCCGAGAACAGATAAGACGGTGAGGAGCGAAGGCTTGAGTTGCATCCAGTAACCGACAGGAATGGCCCCGCGGAGCTCAATCACCGGAAGCGTGGCGAGCGCGAAGACCACAGCTTCGTCCGGCCATCCCGAGCTCCGCAGTCTGCTCGCGATCTTCAAGCCAAAGCCCGATGCTTTGATGGAATCAACGGCGGCATTCGCGTCCTTGGAAGCCGCGAACCAAGCCAGAGACAGAGAAGCCCAGAACACGACCCGCAGCAGAAACTTGAGCGGCCTCTCCTCGGGAATCGTCAAATCGCCTTCGCCTTCGGCCGCGGAAGCAAACCCATCTCCCGAAAGGGCTTTCTTCGCCGGCGACGGGGAAGCGCGAGGGTCGGCAAAGACAGGGCTCAAATGGCGGGGACCCACGAATGCCACGGACGAGTTCGGCTTCGACCCGAAGGGGAAGGAGGAGAACCTTCTACGGGGATCACAGGGGTCGACATTCACACGGGCACGCAAGGGTCTGGCGAGGCGAGACCAGTGGACAGAGAAAGATAGTGCTGACACGGAGGCGGCCATTGACCGACCGGATCCAAGAGGGCGAGGAAAGGAGCGAAAATTCAACAAAGGACACGCTCGAGCTCCATGGGAGTGGTGTTGCTGTTGAGGGGCATCTAGCAAGTGACGAGCCCTGTTACCAAACGAGCAGCGAAGTGAACCCACGTAGGAATTCAATTCAGGGTAACCAGAGATTCGATCGGAGAATGGATGCACCTCGTGATTGACAGAGAAAACCTTCGCAGGTGGGAGTAAGCTGGTGATTATCCAACTCGAGCATAGCATTGGACTGATGCTTTGCATTGTGCGCGCAGATGCGACGAAACAGGGAGGTGATACCGAGAGAAGGTCCGGTTAGTCAACGGGGTGGATACGGACAGTTCTGCTGGGGGTAGACATGGCCACGGGCCGGTTTCGGCCCGGAACCGGCCCGGTCAAACCCGGGCCCGGCCAACGGGCCCGGTTCCAGTTCCAAAAAAAAAATTAAAAATATAAAAAAACAAAAAACAAAAAACCTGCAGCAGGGCCTGCACGTCTGCAGGCCCTGCTGCAGCCTGCAAGGCCCGTTGCCAAGCTGCCTTGGCGACGGGCAAAAAAAGAAAAAAAAAAGATAACCATTGCAATTTGCCACGGTTATTTAGCCTTTTTTTTTCTTTCTAAATTTTCTTCTTAACTTTTTCTTATAAATTCTCTCAAATTCTATGAGAATTTGTGACAAATTTACCCTCTGTTAGTGTCCGTTAAATTATATTAATATCACAAAAAATCACAAATTGGTAAACTTGTAACAAATAGAGGGGTAAAACCCAAAATCGATACACATGTCAATTACCACGTGTCATTAAACTTAGCAATTTGATCGTAAAATTTAACGGAAACTAACGAAGGGTAAATTTGTCACAGGTGTACCAGTTTGGGATTTTTGGTGGTCAAAAAATTAGTTCGGGGGTAAAATTGTCACAGGTATACCGGTGTGGAGTTTTTTATGGTCAAAAAAATAGTTCGGGGTAAAATTATCACAAGTGTACCAGTTTAGGGTTTTTTGTAGTAAAAAAAATAGTTTGGGGTAAATTTATCACATGTATACCAGTTTGGGGTTTTTCGTGGTATTAACCCTTACCACAATGTTGAGTTTCACTGGGCTTCACTTGTATTGGGCCAGATTCAACTCTGGGCCTCATTTTTCATGGGCCGTTCATCCGTGAAACGACATCGCGTCGCAGACACCAAAGCATAAAGTCGTCATCTTCTTCGTCTTCCTTCGACACTCTAGGGTTTCGGGAGGATCGTGCTCTGCAACTTCACCGCTCCAAGAAAACCTCCTCCGTCCCGCTCATCTCCGCGAAAGTCGCCGCCATGAGCAGATCGGGCCAGCCGCCGGATCTCAAGAAGTGAGAAGCTCCCTCTCTCTCCTTCGTTCCTCTGTACTGGTTTACGTCTTTCCCCTCGTTCCCTCTCTGACATGGCTTTTCGTTTTGCTATCTTTGCTCAGGTACATGGACAAGAAGCTCCAAAGTAAGCCTCTGCAATTTTCTTTTTTTCTCCTCTTTTCCCAATTGTCTGTGGCGTTTGAGTTACAGTATTCGTCGTTGTCTGTCCGAAGTGGATTCGTGGAGTTACATTGCGCGCAATTTTTTGGCTTTATAGCCGATTTCAGAACTAGAGTGCAGCGTGAACATCGTGGAATTTCGTAGTCATATGTCCTTTGTGGTTGTGACGGAGTTACTTGCCGGCTGATGAAGCGATGTTGTTTCGTGTGGTGAATGAAATCGTCCGATGTGGTGTTGTGTGGATTCATTTGCCTTGCATCTCGTGATTGTTTTACTGATTAAAAGTTGGTGAATTCGAATGTTGCGTGATATGAGTTCTTTCATATTTTGCAGTCTAGATAATACGTAGCCTGTAAATGAGCTTGTTCACACCCCTTTGTATGGTGCACACTAGCTTGATATCCTTGGCACTGATGGAGCTGCTTGGCATGTACTGCGTCTTGACTCGTTAATGTTGGTCTTGGTTATGACAAGAAGCTGTGGCCTTGCTCTGTATCGTTTCATTCTTGAGATGTGAACTCCAAGAGTTATTTGCCTCGACTACCTAATTATGTTGTATCTTCCTCATGTAAGTATTTCGGCATGTGGGGTTCATTGGTTTGTGCGTGTGTTTCATCGGTAGCATGTGTTGGAAAGTTGAACTATCGTCGCTGGAAGATGAAAATTGTGCTTAGAGTCTGGTGTGCTTTTTGATATTAGTCTGAACAGTTTCGCTTTAATTACCTGTTCAGAGATCACAACCGTTTGTATTTTTCTCTATTGAAACTTTTGGTACTTATGGCGGTTTATGTGTATGAAAATTCATTGATGGGAGATTAGGGATCCTTTTTTCGTAGCTTGATTTGATTCATCCAGATGTCAATAAGATATATAACTAACTGTTCTCTTCTCTGCAGTTAAGCTTAACGCGAATAGGATGGTTGTTGGAACACTCCGTGGGTTCGATCAGTTCATGAATCTAGTGGTAGATAATACTGTTGAAGTGAATGGGAATGAGAAGACTGACATCGGGATGGTGGTAGGTTTATACTAATTGAATTACAATTTTAATTTGGATCCTCGCTTTTTGGCTAACACTGATAATCTCACCACTGATGCTGCAGGTTATAAGGGGAAACAGTGTTGTTACTGTGGAAGCTCTCGAACCCGTGAACAGGACATAGTTCATTTAGCTATGTATTTGGTAGATTTAACAAGCTCTTTACTTGCAGTTGATTCTGATGCTGCCAAGTTGCTTGTAAGGAGGATGTTGTATAAACTCAACCTATCTTATGCTTAATGAAATGTTGGCCTTCAAGTCGAGTGGTGCACTTGGCGCAGGCCAGATTTGGATTTCAATGAAATTATGTATCACTATGCATTGTGACCAATGCTTCACTGGCTCGTACAGTGTTCGGAAGTCTTAAGTTCATTAACTTTATGCAGCTTGAATTAGACTGAATTAGAGGGAAGTTCAAGTTCATCGGACCGACTTAAAGTTCCTCTTTTATCTTTCATTTAAAGTATTTATATCTGTGGCTTGAGATACTGCATGTGATTCATGTACGCGTGGCTTGTAAGAAATCGGTCTGTACCCAACCAACTTATGTTCTAGTTTGCATGAGCGGCCGATTTGTGATTGGAGCTTCACATTGGCGAACCTTGGATATAAGCTTAGATTCATTAGGTTAAGGAAATGAAATTATTCCGGTGAACTTCTTGTCTGTTTGATCAGTTTACGTTTTTACCGTTACTTTTAGAGGATCTGAGTCGCTTAGCTGCATATGCCTTTCTGTGCTCTGAAATCATGAGTCTGTCCTACATAAAGATCTTGATACTTATTTTCGCGACCGAAATGAATTGTAACAGTAAAAAGGCCATCAGGCCCCAAAATGGTGGATGTGATCACGAATTGAAGAAGAATGTGAAGAGCAAAGTCGAAGTCTCTCGCTTCTCCCGCGATGCAGTGAGTGATTCAAGGGCTCGCGGCTTGTTCGTTCTTGCTGTCTGTAAAAACCCAATTTTACGCAGACTGTCGTGGATGTATTCCGTATGGAATATGGTTGGAATCAGAACCAAATGCATATGCTACAGGATCCCGGCCAAGTCTCGGCGCGAAGCACTCCATGATAGAATCAAATGCATATGCTACCCCTCATTGACACTATGTTATTGATAATATGGTTAACAATACATAATAGGGTTACATGCCAACATAAACTCCAAACTGATGCACTCGTGACGCATTCATCCCAAATAATTTTCGTGTCATAAAAAATTCCAAACTGGTACACTCATACTGAATTTAATCCAAACTAATTATCGTGTCAAAAAAAATCATAAATTGATACATCCGTGCCATATTTCCCTCAGATTAATTTTAGTGCTACAAAAAATCTCAAACCAGTATGCCCTAATATATCTTTACTAGATTCATGAATAACTGAACAAGTAATTTTTAACGTTTCAATGTATCGAAGCTTTTTCTACACAGTGGACCTTTCAAGGTTACACACGCCTCGAGCTTTCTACATTGCCAGCTCTCTTCTTCCACATTTGTGTTTTATTTGGATTGTAACTCCCTTTCTTTGGTTGCCACCAACCATGTGTGTTTGTTCAGTTATTTTCCTTATGTTGCTAGTGTTCGTTGAGCGTTAGGTAAGAAATCTTTCCTTTGATGTTATTTCTTTGGCTATTTAGTTCATGGAATATGTCTCACTCATCTGAGGCTAGCTAAAAACTCTTTTCCAGAGAGAAGGACCTCCGAACTCTACCATAAGGCCGCGCGATTTCAACGCCGAGGCTCGGCAAAAGGTTTGTATAGTTCTATCTAACTGGGCTAGTACATGAATTCACGATCGGTGTATGTCCATGCACATGCGTGTGTTGAGCATGTCCTTTTGGCTATTGTTTCTTGTTATTCACTCACTCACTTCGCAGCATGTAAATATTAGACTAAGCTGTGAATGTATGTGCTCGAATTCACTCTGGACTCCTTCCTTATTTTCCTATCGCAAACCTAGCTGCAGGCTAGAGAAGATGATGCCGGCGACGGAGAAGTAAGATTTCATGTGGAGGAAAGTTATGACAGCAACGAGGAAAACACAAGTCCATTCAAGCATGAGGGCATTCTTATCAAGAAGGCGAGCGCCGGCGGATGGAAGTGGACAAAGCCTCTTGCCAGGTGACTATGAGATAACCGTTATGTTTTCACTTATGAGAAGCAATGTTACTGATCAATTAATTAATTAGTACTAAAAGATTCTTGTGTCATGCTGTCTGTTGTTCATCTCAATCCGTTGAAGCGAATCCAGGGCTAGCAACGCTAGCATTCTTCGCGTGGGAGTGAACATGGTGCTGTTTCTGACCAGAGTTCTCAAGCAGGGGAATGCAAGTGCAGCCAACAATGTGAGCAAGTGGACCGGGACCGTTTACTTGTGTTCCTTGGTCAGGGCCTTCCTCAGCAACTCGTATTGGGGACATTACTTGATCTGCACTGTCTTTCAGCTCATTTTCGTGCTGTTAAGTGGTAACTGACTTTTTTTATCCACAATGTGGAGCCTTTGCATTGAGTTTGTATGCAAAAGTTGAACTTTAGTTGCCTCCATCAGTACAAGCCAGGTTTATAATCTTCTAGACTCATTTTGTTGGATCAAACCAATCACATATAAAGAAACCATTGCCAACATATGTTTTTGCTCCGCAAATGGTCATTTCCACGATCCACTACATTAAGTTTGTATAATATCCTTCGAGGCACCATTTGGTCACAAAAAGTACTAACTAAAATGCATGTGCGTGATTTAGTACTTTAGTCTTGCATAAGAGTACTTATAATAAACTCAAATTTAATTGAACTTATAAATGCAATCACACTCAAAGTATCCTAATGACTTATTTGTTTTTTCTTTACTGATTGTAAGCTAACTCATTGTGTTTTCATACAGTACTTGGTGCTATTATCTGTAACATCTGGCGTCTTCTTGATCACCGTTGTGGTGATGGGAAACTACCTTTCCGGTCTGCCTCACCAATCGGCATTGACATCTTCTGCCTATCATTCTACTTGATAGCTTTTGACATGGTGTATAATAGATTAGATACTAGCACGAAAATGAGCTGAAAGATGGTGCAGGTCAAGTAACGTCCCCAGTAAGAGTCACTGAGAAAGGCCCTGATCAAGGAACACAAGTAAACTGTCTCGGTCCACTTGCTCACGTTGTTGGCCGCACTTGTGTTCCCCTGCTCAAGAACTCTGGTCAGAAACAGCAGCAAGTTCACTCCCACCCCGAAGAAATCTAGTGTTGCTAGCCCTTGATTCGCTGCATCAAATTAAGATAAACAACAAACAGCATGAGACAAGAATCTCTTAGTACTAATGGTCACATTGATCAGTAACATTGCTTCTCATAATTAAAATTGTAACGGTTGTCTCATAGTCACCTAGCAAGAGGCTTGTCCACTTCCATCCGCCAGTGCTCGCCTTCTTGATAAGAATTCCCTCATGCTTGAATGGACTTGTGTTTTCCTCGTTGTTGTTGTAATTTTCCTCCACATGAAATCTTACTTCTCCGTCGTCGGCACCATCTTCTCTAGCCTGCAGCTAGGTTTGTGAAAGGAAAATAAGGAAGGAGTCTAGAGCGAATTCGAGATTGTTCTGTTTACCGGGAGTAAATGTAGAAGTTCATCTGATCAGTGATCCCTTTGTGACTAGAAAAGTTGTTCCGGGTAATATTTTGCCCCTTATTTTGGTATTGCTCATCAGTGTGCTCTTCTCAGAGTGTCCTAAGTTACTCTTAGATTTCTCACTAGTGTGCTTGTTATGGATAACACGTTACTAAAATGAGTCCAGCAAACAATGTATGCGAAAATTTGGTGGAAGATCTTCACTTATGGGGCCACCATCATATAGCCACTTTCTTTCTAAGACAACCTTGGTCGAGCTTTAAACATGAGGTTTGGACTAACGAGTTATAAAGAGACAAGATGAAAGCAATAACCTACCGCAAAGAAGTTCAAGTCGAGAGAGAGAGAGAGAGAGAGAGGTGATACTGTAATCAGAAAACACGTGCCTCTATGATGAAGTGCAGTGCAGCAGTTACCAAAAGGAACTGAACAGAGAGAAAATGGAAATGTTAAGAGGGGAGTGCATTTGCAGCGAAATTAGCTTCGAGTCAATTGTCCATGATGAATGACATACAGACCATGAACACAACAAATTGCTCAAGAAGTACAGTGGAATTTAGAGCAATGAGAGATTGGCACTATTGCCTGACAGGCAGTGCTTACTTTGGTTAAACATCTAATGGTGAATGGCCTTCTGTTTTCTGGAGATGACAACTTAAAGCCCCTTTTTGTTATTTTCCTGTCTATGTTTGTTATCATTGCTCCGCAGATTAACTTTATGCTTCACTGGCTCGTACAGGGTGCGGAAGTCTTCAGTTTATTCACTTTATGCAGCTTGAATTAGACGGAAGTTCAAGTTCGTCATACCAGATTGTAAATTTCCTCTTTAATCTTTTGACGTTCAGTGTTATCTGTAAATATATGTGGCTTGAGATATCGCGAGTGATCGTGTATCTGCAGCATGTGACAAGTTAGTGTGTACCCCACCAGCTTATGTCATTGGATAATGACGGGTTTGGTTCTAGTCCGCATGGGAGGTCGATCTGTGATTCAAGCTTCATTATGGCGAAGGGTTTAGCTTGAACATAAGCTTAGATTACTCCGGAAGAGAAAAATGAGATCATTCCGGTGAACTATTTGTCTTTTTGGTCAGTAGATGTCTATGTTCTTACTGTTACTTTCAGAGAATCCTGAGTCGTTTAGCTGCATATGCCCTTCTGTGCTCTGAAATCAAGAATCTGTCCTTGCCCAAGATCAAGATACTCACTGTCACGACCAAAATGAATGGCTGAATAAACAAATTAGCTACCAGACACCACCCAAGATTGAGTTGCGCAGGAGAAGAACACGTGCAGAGAGCAGTTGTGAGATAAGCAAAGACCATCGGGTCCCAAATAGTGGGTGTGATCAAGAATTGAAGAAGAAAGTGAAGAGCAAAGTCCAAGTCTCCTCTTGTTTAGGCGAATTATTTTTGTTTAAAGAGTCCATTATGTTTCCAAGAGCCGTCTGATTCGCTTGTTATTGATTTTGTTTTTGTGGAATTCCTCGATCCTTCTTTCATTTGGAAAATACGTTGGTCTAATTTTTTTTTCTCTTTCGCCTAATGGACTTTAGAGTCCAAAGCCTATTCCAGATGCTGAACCAAATGAGGGCCGGTCTTACTCATATTTTTTTGTTATATTTCAAAATCATTTTCGTACTTTAAAAAAGAAGGGCCGTGATTTGTTCTTGGGGTTTGTTCTGGCCATACATTTTGCTAATGTTGACTTTCACGTTATTAAAACATATAGAAGTGGACGACTTTGTTTTTCAGTTTTCAAGCTGACTTGCACTAGAAGGCAACACGGAAATACCCACTATACATATCATTACCGTACATTATATTTAATCGTATAACATTGTAAAGCCGTTTAACGGTTAGATTAACTATATTGTTAACAGTAGATGTTTTAATCATATCATATAGCAAATTACATATATATATATTCCACGACAAAATAACATGCAATTATGTTGGAATAATTATTAAAGTGCAAATACCGACTATACTTATACCATTGCCTCTCTTTTTTCAAAATACACTTTGTTTGAGAATCTCCTTTTACAATGCTTTTTTAAATCTAAACAACTAGTAATAATTAACATGATTAGGAAACTTCATTTTTTTTTTCCAAATAACTTTTTTTGAGCCATAAAGTGACGATTTTAGGTTTTCCTAAATTGTTTGTGATATCAAGAAGTGAAAAAAGAAAAGGTGAAATTCATTTCCATATATATTTTTTTCGAATTACCTATTTTTTTTTTTTTGGTAAGGAGAATTACCTATTTTTTTGTAGTTAGTATCATGAAAAACGCCCCAATTGGTATATCTGTGACAAATTTACCCTCCGTTAGTTTCCGTTAAATTTTGATGACACGTGACAATTGACGAGTGTACCGGTTTGGGATTTTTACTCTTCTGTTTGTCACATGTTTATCAATTTGTGATTTTTCGTGGTATTAATCCAATTTAACAGAGAGTAAATTTATCGCATGTATATTAGTTTGGGGTTTTTCTTGATATTATTTTTTTTATGGGAATTTACTTACTTAGAGACTAAGATATAAAAAAAGAAAATTCAGTCCAAGTAAAAATAAAAATAGATAAATCTAGAAAGCTGGGAGTGGGCAAGGAGTCAGAAGGTCTTGATGCACATTACATAAAGACCCCTCAACCCACTCTCTCACACTCCCTCCCTCCCTCTTCCTCCGTACACGCCCGAATCATCCGCCGCTCTCGGTGGCCGCCCCGCCGCCGCTCTAACCCGAAAACCCTAACCTCCTCCCCCGCTCCCCCCTCGCCGGACCACCGCGCGATGGCGTCGCCCGTTCCTCCCGCCGACGCGACCGACGGCCCCGTCCTCAGCCTCGTCAGCAAGCGCCTCCGCGCCCAACGCAAGAAGCTCAACCGCATCCTCCAGATGGAGGAGTCCGTCGCCCAGGGCAAGCCCCTCAACAAGGAGCAGGAGGACGTCCTCCGCTCCAAGCCCTCCGTCCTCGCCTCCATCGACGAGCTCGAGAAGCTCCGCCCCCAGCTCTCCTCCGCCGTCCAGGAGGAGCTCTCCCTCGCCGCCCAGCGCCTCCCCCGCGACGATGACGTCCCCCCGTCCCCCGCCGCCGTCGCCGCCGAGAAGCAGCAGCAGCAGCAGCAGGAGCAGCCGGGGGGCGGCGGCGACGATGCCGTCGTGAAGGATGTGCTGAACCTGCTCTACTTCGGCTCCATGTTCGCCGTCAGCTGTCAGAGCGATTACACTTCCACGATGCTGACGAGGACGCACGAGCGCGGATGCTGCTTGACTTACGACTACGTGACGGACGAGGCCACCGATCTGTTGAAAGAGCGGGACTTGGACCTGATTGCGACTTTGAGCAGCCTCTTGATCTCGAGGCCTGCCGACTCCAGCTTGTCGCACAAGAACGCTCTGCAGAAGTGTGTGGACCACGCCAAACAGTGGATTGCCAATTCCGACAAGCTGATCGAGCCCAACTCTTCTGTTACCTGTACATCTCTTTTGTCTAATCGCATCTTTGATCATGATTTTGTTGAGTTTTTTGTTTTTTTGTTTTTTGGGTATCTTACCATTGAAGTTTGAATTGCAGATGCGTCGTTGAGGGAGCGGTTGAATAAGATAATGGCATCCGATTACTTCACGACGACGCCGGAGATGAAAGCTCCAGTTGATATGGCTGCTGCTGCTGCTTCTGGGAATTATGCGCCTTTTCAGGTCCCAGTCACGGTGCCTGTCCAGGTAGAAAGTCAAGAGCCTCAGTACGAGCAGAAGGTAAATGCATCCTAGATCACGTGCTGTTAAAATCAAGGCATATTATATGTTATGTGTTCGGCAGGAGGTAAAACAAAATGGTGCATATTGCATATAGTTTCACTTCGACTGAACTTAGCCTTATGAGATGAATGGTGTATCACTTGTTATGTGATTTGTGCATCCGATGTATACGCTGGCTGTGATGTATTCTGATGTTTTAAAGATTGCTAAACCCTTAGCCTCCTTATTGTATTCTATTTGCAATTTGTTTACTTTACTGTAATTTTCTCTGTATGAGATGCATTATGTATTATCTATAATCTGATTTATGCATCTCTTGTACATACTATGGCTGTGATGTCGTTAAGCATCCTTATTCTGTTTCATAGGTGTGTGGATTGTTCTTTGCATGTTTCTTGGCGTGTTATACATTATACTTTGGGAGGAGGTTTAGTCTCTTTTAAGTCTTTTTTTGGATTATCATTTTTTCTCTACTTGATAATTGTAAGAAGTTTAGATTTATCTTGTATGCATTTTGTAACTTGTCGATATGATCAATTACTGCAATGATTTGTCTGAGAGTCTATTCTCCAGCCTTTAAAAGGTGTGATGTACATGCATATATTTCAAGGGGGTGCAGACTAGTCAATTCCTTCCTATTTGATTCTCACCTATCGTTTTATTTTAGTGTGGCATGTGAGTCTCCGCAATTGTGATCAATTGCAATCTATATCCTGTAGTTCCAGTATCCTGTCATCATCTAATAAATCCTGGTGCTAGTTCCTGTTAATTATGGGTTTGGAGAATACTCAAGCTTTTGCTGCAACTACAATATAAGACTCCTATCTCTGTATGTTGGTAGGCAAAATGGTGTAAATCGGTAGGCAAAATAGTGTAATTCGACCAATTATTTATCTTTCCAGAAGTCTATATCGGGAACTAAATTACAGGCTAATGACTTTTTTAGATTGCAATGGGCAGTTAACTGCATCATCTTAAGGTAATGAAACAGGGGGAAATGGACTTGGATAGATCCCGAAAAGAGTGGATTCTGTTGTAATGTGTTTCGCATACTTCATACCCCATAGTAGTCAGTTGTGGTTCCCATGGTCTATCAGGACTCCTCCAACTCCTTACAATCATTATCTATCCTTAATTTTCCTTCTTCATTTAACTGTTTTTGCCGATTAGTGGGTCAGTACTTGGTACGCTTCCTGCTATAACACCATCCTAAGTCCCTTTCCCTCTCTGGTAATACAGTTGACATTCCCACTGTTCATGTCTTCATTGATGGTCGGCATGATTATGTGGGTTTGCTTTTTATTTTGTTTTTTAAACGGTATGAATTTTGAAGTTTCAGTTAGAGTTTTGTTTCTATTCAATTCCAGTTTTTTGAAAGTTGTTTTGTGTGTAATTTCTTTATGTTCTTTAATCTTTCTTATTGTTGCAATTTCTTTTGACATTTACTCGATGTATTCGCTCTTGGATGTCTGTTATGGTCTGGATTTTGATGTAGCAATCTTCCACCCCAAGTTTTTAATACTAATGCATTACCCTCATACTTGATATCTGCTAAAAAACTAAAGGGACATTTTAATAAGAGTGCTTTAGCTATTCTACCCTACCACTAATGTAGTTGAATCTAGTGGTTGCCATGGCTCTTGCATGTTGACAGTCAATTAAATAGCATGTAATCAAGTTATTACCTTGGGACAAAAATTCAAGTACACGTTTAAAAATTTAGAGGCTATTGAACTTTTCAAATTTAAAGTTTCGATAGGGTCTGCTGTCTGTTAGCTAAAAGATTTGAAGGAAGAAGAGTGTTTTACATGTCAATGTTATCAACAAAAGCTTAGTCCCAGAGAGAGAAAGGTTAATGGTTTCTTTGCTGGAGGACATTGCACATGGTAGAATATATTCAATTTCTTGGCAAAATGAGGCATTTTTAGGTCAAAACAATATCTAGATACTCACAAAGTAGGTGTTGTGTAGAGACCTTCGGACCTAACCCTAAACACCTTTGAGTTTTCTTTTTAAATTTTCTGCTGGATTGTGTCAAGAGAAGATAAATAGAACCATTAATTTTGAGTTTAACAGGTTAGGTTGTCAGCGTAAGTGTTGCGTATGAAGTTGTCGATTACTCGAGTAATATCCATCTATCGAAGTCTATGCATATCAAGGATTGCTCCTTTTCCAACAAATTTACATGTGAGGGTTCCCCCTGTCTCTTTCCCCTTAATGGATGGGCTTTATATTGGTGGTGATTGACATTCTATGTTGGGTAAAAGTAATTTGGAGATAGATAGATGATGGATCTGACGATTGGACACCGGTCATTTACATAATGGCATGGCATGCCAATTGACATGTGTGATTTAGTTTATGGTAGCAAGCATTTCAATTTGAAGACATACTTACTCTTTCTACCTTCTACCTTATGGGGATTTCTCCTACCTAAGTAGCAGAATTGTGCATAGGGAAATATATAATCAACCGCCTAGTTTTATTGTAGGAGGACCACGCAAACATGATACACCTTTTGTTGGATAAAGAAAGATCATAGTGCGCGCGCGCGTGCGTTGCCATTTAGCTGATAAAATAAGCCCGTGGATATGGAGGTTGCACAAGTGGTGCTATTGCTTTTGAGAGAAATAAGAAGTGTTGGGAAGATATTATCCCCTTTTGGAATAGGGATAATTAGGGCTTATAATGCAACTTTTAAGCAAGTGATGACATTAGACAGGGCATTTTTTGTGTGACTTGGCATTGTGTATGTGAATGTGTGTGCATGCGCGCGTGTGCTTGCCACAATGCATGCAGGTGTAATGTCTGGTGTCAATGTTATTGGTTTCATCTTGTTTGAAAAGTAGATGAAATTGGCTAATTTTACTTCTTTTACTGATTCATCATGTCAATCACAAATTTCCATTAAATTTTGTCACTGTTGATAAGGTTACAAAACAGTTCTTAAAGTTCATTCTAATGAATTTGCTTTCATTTTGTTAACGTTTCTGGAATTCCATGTTAATGCTTTACTTCCTACTTTTAAGTCATAGGGTGAGGTTACCCTGTTGTCTGCTGCAAGTAACATCTCATAAGATGTATGAACTTACTCCCTCATGTACAAGCTGTCTGTATATGATCTTAGAGCCTTTCCCGGTTGCTCCAAATCGGATATGAAATCTTCTAATTTGATTAGTTCTCTTAGAACAAGTTTTGCTGTCTTGCTTTTCATCAAAATTAAGCTTCTGTTTTTAACTTTTATTGTGAGCAGATTCTCCTTGTTTTCATAATACATTGATGTTTCTCGCAAGAAAAAGGATGTACTTTTATCTAATATGATGCATTGTTCTTGAATCAGTCCAGCATGTCTCCCCATGTTTTTGGTTGTTTCCCTTTATCTTTATACTAAAACTTATAGTAACAGTTGATATAAAAGGAGAATGGAAAAGATAATAATAACAATTAGAAGAAGAAAGAGATTTTTTTTTAAAATTAGATACTTTAATTCTGATGTTTAAGCAATCTAAATATATGGTAGCGTTGTTATGTTCTTTGTGAATTAACAATATAATCTTGCAGTGCGTTTGCACTGTTTATGTGATTACTTTAATCACATTTGATGATTCAGATAGGCGTGGGTAACTGTTTTCTGTTCTTTTAGGCATTAGAGCTCATACTTTTAGTTTACCTTCTATTAATAGGAATAACAAAACAGAATAGCCAATCAACATTGTTGCACTATATATGTAGTTAGGGCTTGCACAGACATCTTCTTAAGGAGAAAAGGACGAGGTTGCTTGAGATTATGTGATGTAATCTTATTTTTAACTAAGATTTAGTAGACTTTGGAACTGTAGTATGGTAATTAGCAAAAGTTTCTCTTTTTTGAAAAAACTTGTTTTATTTTGTCATTCCTTTAACAGCCGACTTCATGTCTTATCAGTTAGTCATTGACATGTATTTGTCAATCTTTCTAATGATCATAGTTGCACTTTACGGCCTGGAGAGAAAAAATAAACTTGTTTGTTGACTATACATTTGGATACTAACTCTATTGTCTATCCTAAGTCTTTATTTATCAAATATGATAACCTAGTAAATGCGTCACTCATATTTTCTTTTAGAATGGCTCCCTTCTTTTATCGAGGACAACCAAACTTCCAAAAACATCTACTTGCCTTATGCTGCAGTTCTTGTCTGATCTTTTGTATGTCAAACAAACAAGTAGAATTGAGAGATTCCTATATAGCTTAACAAGAAAATAAAACTGAATATTTGGCATGAGAGGCCATGCTTATTTGTTGTTGATTATCTTCTTATTGCCGATGTTCTCTTCTTCTATAGGAGGAAGCTGGGACTGAATTCCAAGGACATGAAGTTGATAATGAATCTAATCCAGTCGATGATGTTCATAAGGTGCCTGCAGATTATCTCAGCACAACTTTATTTTCACTTTTATCAGTAGATTGATGAGCACGAATGTGATCCTTCCTTTTCCGCAGGATGAAGTAGCAGCTGATAATCCTTCGGAGTTTGCCTCAGCTCAACTAGAAAATGTAAATCCACAGGTGGAAGAGTTTAATCAAAGGGAAAGAGAGCAGAAGGATCATCAGTACATTCCCCGGAGGAACTACCAGAACCAGAGAGGGGGTCGTGGTGGAGGTAATGGTGGTCGCCGGGGTTATCCCAACGGTCGAGGAGGGAGAAGTGGAGGGAGGGGTGGTGGGCCCTACCAGAATGGCCGCGGCCACTATTATGAGCAGCCCGGTAACTATTACCCTAGAAACTACTACAACAATAGAGGGAGAGGCGGCAGGGGTGGTGCGCATACCTTCAACAACCATGGTCCGGCGGTTCATGATGGCCATGCCCCTTCTGATGTCGGGGTGGCTTCATGAGCATACATTTAGCAGCGAAGAGGGTGCTGGATTACTAGTTTTGCCTATGGTTAAGTGAAGTTACCTCATTGCTTTCGAGCTTGTGATTTACACTTAAAGCTGAAACTTAGATTAATGTCACCTTACCGGGCTCTATTCTCATTCCAGGAGTTTAGATGACTGAACACTTCACTTTTTGGGAAAACATGAAACATCCTTCTCTAATGTGGAATACCGTAGAAATTTAGGATATGTCTGGTTTGATTTTTACTTTTTTTCTTTTTCCTTAACCTAAATCTCGCGGTTCACGTGTTTTGAGTTTTTTTAAATCCAAAATTCTTACAATTTTCATAATTTTCTAAAATTTGTTAATATTGTAAAGGGTTAATACCACAAAAAAAATTCGAACTATGCCTGTTGTGTCAAATATTCTGGACTCGTTTTGTGTCACTAATAAAACCTGATCTTATATCAGTGTGGTAAATATACCGTGGATGAAATTGAAATAGGTGATGTATATCTCATGCATGTATAAGTTTGGGTGTTTTTGTGACACAAAAAAAAAGTTAGGAGTATTTGTGTCATAGTGGGCAAGTTTAGGATTTTTGGTGATACAAAATTAAAGTTTAGAGTAGTTGTGACACAATGGATATAATTTGGGGTTTTCTTTTTGCAGTTTTTGCCCTATTTTAATTTTTGACGAGAAAAGTAAAATAAAAAAACCGTCTTTGGGTTTGATTGTGCAAATTGCTAAATGGTTATTTTGTGCAAGTCTCTTCTCTTTTCTTTGCCATTATCTCTAGAAGTTTAGCAATGGCTCTTTAGTATCAGAAGATCATCTGTCCGCTTTTAAGATGCCGAAGGTGGCATGCAAGAATGTGCGCGAGGAGAGGGGGGTGGTGGGTTTGGTCCTTGTTGCCTTGTGCCTTGGAGATTTGCCGTCGTCTTGCAGATGGTGCCCTTGAAGGGTTTCCATTTGCAGATGCACCATGTGAAATGTAGTTCCGATTAGAATAGACACTTGAAACTACGTGGTAAATTTCAGGGTAGCTTAACGCTTTGTTTATGGTTTATTTGGGAGGGTGGAAAACCTTCTAGGGACAGAAATTTTTGAATCTCTCTCTGTGTTTTCCTTTCGGAAAAACTAGAAATTCTTATCCATTTTCCTCACCCACGTTCCTCACCTCTCCCTACTTCCCAAACAAAAGCCTCAATCTCAAGTTGTTATGCAGAGTTTTGGAGCAACTCCTGCCGTCAACAGTGTTAGGAGAAAGCGTCGAGTGATGGCGCTTTCGATCGCGACCTTCGTGTTGTTAGGCCACGAATCTCGAAACGTTCCCAAATCTCTGAGGGCGGATTCAGAATCAGAATCCTCTTTTCATTTCCGCACTTTGATGTCGGCGAAAATCGCGGGGCGTGCGCTATTTGATTTGGAGTCTCGTCCGTCCGTCGGCAATCGAATCTCTGTAATGGCGATTGGCGGTGCGTTCCTTTTGCCTTTCACTTTTGGTATGTCAACTCCCATCGTTTGTTTCGATTCTATTCTACCTAAGACAAGTGAATCTTGGTACCACTTCACCTCGTCATGCTCTGTCGTTCACTTCGTTCGCCTCACCTAGACTGGGTACCCAAAAGCAGGAAAAGAAGGAAAAAAACAGAGTGCGTTACCATTCAGGTAAAGATCAATTGCATCTTGGTTTACAGCTTATTATAGGATTAAACGATTTGTTAGTGGAAAAGAATCTCATCCTCCCCCCTTTTTCACTTTAGAAGCATATAAGCTTATTATTTGCGATTTGCATGGTACATCATAAATATTCCCTTTAACCCTACCACTGCGATGAGCGGCCCATGGTTTTGCCTCTCTTCTTTTTTTCCAATGCCTAGATGAATAAATTATCGAAATTCGAGTCCACCCCGTCATGTTTACAGATAAACGTAGGTGATATCCATACTTATAACCTATCCATCATGGACATGACTTGAGAAATTTCCTCTAGCCGAGGATGATGAAAAAGACAACCTTGTATCGCAATTTTTGAGGTAATAAATCACGTGCGTATCAAGAGCCCTTAATTTGTTTAAAAAAAATGGCTAAATCCGTGAAACTCGGAGCAGGACATTAATCTTCAAGTGATATTCGATTTTTACTCCATGAACTCATATATTTTTTCAATCAAGCCCTCGAACTTTTTAATTCATCTAATCGAGTTCGGAACTTGCATGCCCTTTCTAATCAAGTCCTGCTAGTTTCAAATCCGGTTCACTGGAGCTGACTTGTTTGCTCGAGCCGGCAAGAGTGCTAATGTGGAGAACTCGAATGCACTGTTCGTGTTGAGAGATGCTATTGCTCAAAGTATGGTTGTGGTCCATGCAGCTGTAGATGATAGTTCCTGTCGGGAAATTGATTTTTCAAGTTAGACTCTTGCTAGCTCTGACGTACACGTCACTACCACTTAACCAAGATTTGAAAGCTCTTGGCAATTATTCTATTGAAACAGCTGTGAGAAAGTTGTACCCAAGCTTCTCAGATAGCGTACAAAATTTTGTTTAATAAGATTCCGTTTATTTCGCTGAAAATGAATGATTTAAAAAATATTTTCCTAAAAATGATTAGTCAATAGAAAATATTTTCATTAACGACAACAATTTATGTCTAAACATATTCGTGGGCGACGAAAATATTTTTCGTTCGTTCATTTTTGTAAAAGATACAACCGACGATTCTTTTTAGGAGAATGTTTTATGAATCATTCATTTTCCGAGAAATAAACGGAGTCTAAAAGCTTATTTAATATATCTATGATTGAATTATAACAATGGTATGATCCTGGTTGTGTTAGTGGTGCGACTTGTGTATATGACTTTACATATTTTAAAACTTTAGCACCTTGGCGGGATTGGTTCTTGACCTACGTGTATCCACGTATAATGGTGGAAGTAGATTTTACGAGATAATGGTACTTTCATGGAAGATCCTTTTCTTGCTCACCATAATTGATATAAAAAAAGCTACACGCCCACCGATTTCTCGAGTGTTAATCAAATTTCTTTCGAATCTCGAGAGTTATTATCGAAACTACCGACTCGTCAGCTGTCAAAGACTAATATAATTAATTAGGGATTTGCTTGATTGGGAATCCAAGTTCATATGGACTGTACAACACCCAACGCGAAATATAGCAACCCGAATTTGTGCGCCCGCCGTTCGTACACAAAAAAAAGCAGTAGGAACATGAAACCTGAGAAAATTGAGACCTCTCATGCACCATCAAATTGTGTAGGATGACACTATCGTTATGCCCTTTCACCATAAGAACCAATGGACATCGAATTCTTACGCCGTCATCATATGCCTTTTCTCTTTGATTAAAACGAGGTGCTTTTCCGAAAAAAAAGAAGAAAAACGAGGTATTTCTTCCTCCCTTCATTTTCATGAACGAATATTGCTTTGTCCCACCAGTCAGTTAAATGGAGAAACGCCATGTCGATGGAGCACTATCATGGTCAGAATCTATTCCTGAAGCACCAACCACGACGAAAATTTTCGATTTGCCGCCTTTTATTGGTGTATAAAACCCCACCAACTCCTCAATAGCTCAAGCCAAGCAAGCACCTCACAATCCCCAAGCATTTGCTAGCTTTTGCATCACCAATTAGCAATCGCATTGTGGGGGAAAAAGGGAAAAAGAACAAGAACTGATGGGACAGAACTTGTCTTCTGGAAATTACCACGAGTGGGCTACTGCAGAGCCAAGCCGTGTCATGGCGTTTCACTCCAAATCTCAATGGGAAGAGCATTATAATGCGTCGAAAGGGACTGACAAGCTGGTAATTGCTGCAAAACATGGATAACTGAACTGTTGCCTCTTTTGTTTTTTTGTCACTTCCGTTGCTTCATGTGACTCTGCTTCAAAACATTGGTATGGCAATAGATGGTGATCGACTTCACGGCCACATGGTGCGGACCTTGCCGCTGGATGGAGCCGACGATCGACGAGCTCTCTGCGACGTTTGCTGACGTCGACTTCATCAAGATCGACGTCGATGAGTTGATGGTACGATTCTCGTTCTTTTCCCTCCCGCGGAATTAAAAACTTAGAAAGACCTGCATGATCATTTGCAATAAGGTCGGACTTGCATGCCCATAAGGTGTCGGGTTCGACTCCATGTACTCCGGATAATGCGACTGTTATGGAAATGCAGAATGTGGCGAGGCAATATGGTGTGCAGGCGATGCCGACGTTCTTGCTGATGAAGAATGGGAAGGTGGTGGACAAAGTGGTTGGTGCCAAGAAGGACGAGCTCAGGAACAAGATTGAGCAACACAGCAACAAGTCACAGCCATACCTCCATAGCAATTCGTACCACTATGCAATATGACCGCCGCCTCGTGTGCAGTCGACAAAGTATGATCGGCCCGTGCCTTCCGCGGTTAAATAAGAACGCGTTCGCGTTCGTCTCTCCTGCTATAGTCATGGAGTTTTTATTAGTCGGAATAGTCACGGAGTTTGCGTTGTCACTTTTATATCGAAAACCACTCTTTCTCTTTAGTATTTCTTTGGACTCGGTTGCTGAGAAAAAGACGACACACAAGCATATTCACTGCCAAAGATCATGCTTGAATAATAATCATCTTCCATGAGTTTCTTGAATTGCTCTTTCAATGCAGCTAAAGAACAATCGAATGACATGGTCAGGGGACTAAATTTCCCTTTTATGAACAATATGAGCCGGAAAATTTGCAGAAACACAACACTAATGGTCAATGTGCCAACAGCTTACAGAACAACCTCTTATGCAATTGTACAAATGGTCGGACAATACAATGGAAATTGATCCAGACCAAACATCTTACATCACCATAGGACCGCGGATAAATATAATCAAACAAAAATTGAAAGAATTTGGTATAAACCTGAACAGAAAAGTTTCCAAGTGCCATTTCTAAACATCCAAGGCTGATAGAAATCGCACACATCATGGCCGGTGATGGAGACTGGAGAGTGCTGCTATGATACTTCGCCCATCAGAATATTTTCCTTTCTGGCTTTCAGGCAATAAATTGGGTCAATACTTCCTCTACAAACAATTAACATGTAGAGGTCTCTGGAAGCGTAAAAGCAGAACTCAATCAAAGCATATGAAAAAGTAAATCTGTAGAACGCATTTGTATGCGCGACACTCTTGCTCCATGACCCCTTCTTAATCCCTCACTTACTGAAGTCTCCAGCCACTGGCACATTGAAAGCAAAGCAGAGCAAAAGGTTGAGAAAGAGAGAGAGAGAGAGAGTTTCAGAGAAGAATGCGAACAACAAAAAAAGCGTGAAAAAATGGAGAGGAAAAAAATAGAGCTAGTAACCAACTGACTATATAACATTAGGGAGTTGTTGATCCTTTTCTTGTCCTCAATCCATCCGGTCAACAACCACCTTAACTGGTCTATAAGGCAAAGTACACCCTTCAGATTACTGTGGCCACTGCAATCTATGGTAAAAAGAGTTCTCTCCTACAGTTTAGTCATGTTGCGCTCGCCAGGCTATTCCCAAGATGGTATAAGGGCTTCACTTTCAACCTAGTTTTCCTTTCTAGTTCTAAGTAACCTTCTAAAAAGTTGCACACTGATTTTTGAACTATGTGACATCGAAGATGGAATGCTAGAGTATCAGCAGTTCAATGTGAAATGGATCCAGGAATCAGGATCGCGACGACATGGAAGAATATCGACCCATCACCAATCATCCGACGCATTACGTACTACTCAAATATACTCGAATTAGAACTGTCCTACAATGTATATATTCCAAAGTATAGAGATAATACTCGGCCAAAGGAAAAAAGAAGTTCAAAACAAAGATCTCACCTGTCGAGGAGGATGGCACAACGACGACATGCATAGTTGAAATATTAGGAGGAAGCTGCAGGCGAAGCGGGAAGAGCTTCCCATTTAAAGGGCTTCGAGAACACACGAAAATCCCCTGCATCCCCGTCTCCTCCTCCAACTTCCGAGTCAATTCCTCCACGGTGTTCCCCTTGAAGTTCAAAGAATAGCCTTCCATACCTTCCCCTTCCACATTCCCGCTTTCATCAGCAATGTGGTAGTATATGGTCCTCCCTTCCGATTTCGGGGGCGACCCAACATAAGAATCGGTCGACTGCACAAGCAAATCCAAGTACAAGTTAAGTCAATTTCCACACACTCAACATCCACTCGCTCGAGTAACGACAGATCAACGCCGAACTCAGCCGAGTGGAGAAGTCTTATAAGGTCCGCTGCAACTGTTCTTCACAAGCACCATGTATCAGATCGAACGGTGCGTGCCTGTTTTCAGAGGATTACTATACTACTCACGGACAAAAACAATGGAATCTTGGCAGACATCAATCTATTAACAATCGGCTACTCCATCTCTCCTCAAGCAACTTCCACAATATAGATCCGCAAAGATCCATTCATAGATGAATAAATGAACAGAGAGAAAAGAGATGAAGTGGAAAGACGCACCTCCTGCCTAGAGAACCGCTCGGAATTCGCCGATGAGGACGACGGCGACGCGGGATCCGAGCCGAGGGAGGAATCGAGGTGGTCGAGGGGCTCGACGGGGCGCATCGCCGTGGGGGACTGGACCTCGATCTCGACGACGTCGATGTCCCAGAGGACCCAGTCCGGGGTGCCGGTGCGGTGGGGGACGTCGTGGGTGACGGAGTTGCGCCAGGGCGGGAGGCCGCCGTTGGCCCGGAGGAAGTTGCCGTAGCGGGTGCGGAGCTTGACGTGGGTGCCCTCCCGCACGGGCTCCCACTCGAGGGAGGAGTCGAGGCGGCGGGGGAGGGACTGGACCACCTTGCGCCCGGTCATGCCGAGGAGGAAGGGCTGGTTGGAGGCGGCGAGGTACTTGCCGTAGCGACCCTTGAGGCGGAAGACGGAGTCGGAGTTGAGGACGAACTCGACGGACCACCGGGCGCTGGGGGAGGAGCCGTCGCGGCCCTGGGCGACGGACTCCTCGTCCTCCTCCGCCACCAGGTACTTGTCGTGGCGGCTCCGGAGGCGCACCGCCCTGGCGTTGCGGAAGAACTCCATGCCCGACAGGAGGCAGTAGCCGGCGCCGGAGATCTGTTGGGGGAACAAGGGAGAGAGGGAGGCGCGATTGAATGAGTTCACGTGGCGAAGACGACGATAATAAAAGACAGGCCGGGCAGTTTTATATTATATGTCGGGACGCGACAAGACACTGCGCGGCGAGCGAGAGTTAAGGAATAAAGAAGGGGAAGGGGGAAGATGGTGCCGGTCAGGTCAGCGAACACGCCCGAAGAAAGTCAAAGGGCCACGTACGTGGCCGGTGATTGCGTGGGGCCTGGGCCCCGCAGTTAGTGGGGGCCCCCGGGGGGAGGAGGGTATATCCGGGGCCCACCCGGGAAGGTTCTTCCCCCCCACCACCACCTCCGTTTATCCCGAACTTTTCGAGTGAATCCGGCGGGGGTCTGTCTTCTTCTGGGAAGTGGCGTGAATCCACGATTTACGGCGTGCCCACGCAATCTTTAAAAATTAGGTTCGAACTTATCAGATGGAGGGGTGAATATCCGGTTCGGATCGTGTTAGATTCCATGTTCGGATCTACGACCTTATTTTACTCCGTATCGATCTTTGAGGGGCCACGCCCCGCTGCCGCCGCCCTATGAGTGGAGCCTTATCCGATGCACGTGGACGGGAGGCAATCTGCATGTATCCGTGGGGGATTTCATCGGTCGAACATCCGGAGAATAGAGTTCTTATCTATCGAGTATCGACTAGGCCGATCCTCGGTACTCGAGTGTCTGTGTACAATTAATTGTTTGGGTCATCGTTGATTTTAATGCGATTGGCATATCTAACACGGGACCACCCCACTGCTTCTCGGCTTTTAATTCGATTACAAAATCGGGATCTCATCGGTCGTGATACACAACGTGTATGGGTAATCGAATTAATTGCAGACTCAGATGTCTAAGCCACGAGGCAGCAATTGGGTCCATCGTGTAGCCTTTAGCTTTCGAACTATCAAGCTATCCTGCCGATCGATCATCCAAAGTAATTATAACACAGCCTCTGCTTAAGACCCACATGCGCCACCTGTATTAAAAAAATCAAAACCAGGCAGCAGAAAACATGGAATTGAGAGCCTAAAAACTGCTCATGGCACACTCATCTGTACAAAGAAGATCCTTTCCAATTCCCACTGGGTGCTCAGGATTGACGGATAACAAGCACGCTCCACCTAAGTTCATAATGGCCGGAATATGACCGAGTCCACCATGGCTCTAAAAGACAAAGGAGTGGATGGGAAAGCATGGATAAATCCATGGTGCCTCTGCTTTATCTTTTTCATATAGATTTTGTTAACAACTGTCTTCTAGGGCACTTGTTATATACATTTGTTACGTTTTCAAAGCACATTATCAGACATGGAAGGCTAACAAATGTTCCAGAGTCAGCTCGTTGACAAGATCTCTTCTTATGTTTTTCAACAGATTAGTGCTGCCATTTGGTGAGAGATAGTGCGGAGGGGTGGTTGGAGGCTGCATCAGGGAAGCATAGAAAGCGATAAAGTAGAGAGACACCTTAAAGTCTTTGGATCTATAGTGGTGTGTCATCCTATTCCTCTTTTGCTCTTCACTAGGTGGGCGCACGAGGGTGATAGCCAATGATGAATAGATCACATTGTCTTCAATGAGGTCACGTATTCGAATCATACCATAATCGAACTTCTTATAAACTGGTGCCATTAGCATTTGTTACCTCGTGTTGAGAGATTTTCTGATTTCTAACATGTAAGTAGGGTCTTCATAATGGGCTTGTACACCTACGGGTGAATTGAGGAACTATAACTCAAATCGAACATTTCCTAGGGAGCATGTGACTCTTATGGTGACACTCAGATGGGTAACTACGGTGATCGGCCCTCCTTACCCTTTCCCAAATGCTAGGTGGACGAAAAAAGACAAACAAAAATGTAGACTTGGTTCTTGAGATCAAGGCATTCTCTTAGTGGGTCGGTGGGTGCTTGTTTCAGGAGAAAATATCAACCATCTAGATGACTCAATCACTAGGCTAGCAATCACTTAGTCGCAAATCAATTATTGTCTATCTATTTCGATAGGGGCAGCATCGGGTTCACCTAAAATTTATATGGTCCCGTATGTAAGTTACACTGTGATGGGCTTCGTAAATCATATTATGTATAGTATAAGGTCAGCACAAACTCCGATTTTTCCGTGGTTAATCACCCTATTAACGCGAAAGACGAGGGGAAGCTTCCTTGTGCCTATTGCTAATCAATACACCAGCTTCTCTAATGATGTTTATGTCTTATCTGTTTACTTTCCAGGAGCTCCACCATAGGATTTGACATAGGGTCACGTATGATTAAGCTGTCGACCGCGTGAAAAATAGTGTACGGTTGCTTTCGCCGAACACTAAGGGCTGTCTTACGTTCACACCATTTCTCATTCGCCCGGGTTTCCAAGGTCGGCTCAACTTATTCAAGAAATCGACCAGCCTTTTTCACTTTATGATATGACAAGTTTTGTTCCGATTAAGCTCGACAAGATAGAACTTATGCACTAGTAAATCATTATAAGCAATAATATGGTTACGTAAGTAAAAAAAAAAATAAGAAAGTTACTAAAGTTAAGTTAGCCCGACCACGACCCGAAGAAATGCTTTCTAGTTTAACTAGGCTCTCGAACTCGCTAAATAATCAAAGCTCGAGTGAAGCGAGTAATTCAACTCATTTTCTAACCTAATATTTATTTTTATATATCAATGTTCATTTTAGATATCTTGGACATTTTTTCTTTGTAATTTCTTTTATCGTCTGCCTTGTGGGTTTAATCTATAAAATTCACTATGAATGTTCAGTTTAGATAAATGTATGCGTGATATACACGTGTTATTTTTAGTAATTAAATTCCAAAATAAAAAAGAAAATTTGATTGTGCATGATCCAGAAGTAGTGGGAATTAAAACTTCGTCAACAAGTGACTGCTCAGGAAGGAAAAGAATGCATACCTGCTTTTCCTCAATCTTCCTTGGAGCAACCGCCACCGCCGTCGGCGACCACACCTCCGAACGCGCCACCATATCATCACGATCATCTTCATCGAGGACGGACGATGAGAAGCTCGAAAATGCCGACGAGTAGTCCTCGAGCGCCTCCCAATCTGTGCTCCGCGCGACTGCCTCCACGTCCCACAGCACCCAATTTGTCGTCCCTCCGGTGAGGGGTTCGTCGTGCGTCACGGAGTTCCTCCACGGCGGCGGGCCCCCATTGGCGCGCAGGTACTTGCCGCACCAGCTCCTCAGCCTCACCTGGAACCCGTCCCTGACGGGCTCCCACTCGAAGTTCCAGCTGGAGCACGGCCCCTCCCCGGGCGAGGCCTGGATGACCCTCTTCCCGGTCATGCCGAGGAGGAAGGGCTCGTCGGAGGCGGCGAGGTAGCATCCGTGGCAGCTCCTGAGGCGGATAAGGTGGTCCCGGCCCTCAACGGGCTCGACGGACCAGCGTGCGCGGGCGGAGGCGCCGTTGCGGCTCTGGCGGGTGGTCGCGCGGTCGTCGTCGGCGACGAGGTACTTGTCGAGGTGGCTCCGGAGCTTGACGGCCCCGGTTTTCGTGAAGAGATCCATCGGAGCTGACAAGCCACGAACTATCCTTCTCTGGCTTTGCTTTCTCGGGCCCCCTTTTCTTGATGACAGATGATCAGGAGAGGGCGGTGGAGGAGAACATGGAAGATGGAAGGGCTGGGGAGTCGTATTATGTGGGGGAGTTCTGTACTGATTTAATATTCGGACGATGATGCGAGGAGGAAAAGGTGGATTGTGTTGAGATGTTTCTTGTAGGGATCGAAAATTTAGGGTTTTTGGACTTTGTTACGAGTCTTTGTTTCTTAGTGGGCAAGGTTTCAAGAAGCGATTGGAACGGTGAGTGGGAACGAGGATGTTCGATTTCCCACGGCTCATTCGATGTTTGTAGTCTTGACCCGTGAACTGCTTCTTGCGCTGACGAGCAATGGAGGGAGGGTTAAAGAAGAGAAAAAGGGCGTGCACGGTGGGCCCCACGAGAAAATATCGGGTACTGCTGTGGTACCCGAGCCAGCAAAAAAATTAGCCCATTCATCGGATGCCACGTGTCGATCAAGGGCCCACCCATCTGAAAAATATCTCTCTCTACTGCACTTGCTTTTCTCATCGTCTCTCTCCTGGGCTTGGTCTTCTTCTCTCTTCATTGCGGCCACCGTGGCCATAGAGCTTGAGCTTGCGCCCAACATCTCGGCCTCCACAACCATATAGCTCGAGCATGAGGTTGCGAGCTTGTTCGAGCTTCAAGCTCGTGGCCTTGGCCCCATCCCCGACCTCTTGGGATGTTTTCGCTTTGGCATTTTTTTCTGTTCAATGGACGAAAATCCGCGGACAGTCGGATTCGAGGCTGCCCGGGGGGCCGTCGACCGGAGTTAGATTTCGCCGACCCAAATGCAGAACCGGAGCTCGACGGTTATGGCCATGGCCGTCGAGCATCCGCTTGACCAGTCGAGGTCGAGCCTCACCCAGATCTGGCGAGGCCATGGCCGACCTTGCCCACAACGGCAAGGGCTTGTCCTTGCCAGCGGCCGGTGGGGCCGAGCTTGCGGTTATGGCAGTTAAACCCAGAGTCTCGTGGCCACGGAAGCTTGATTTGAAAACTTGCAGCGGCCATGGACGCGGAGCTCGAACTTGAGCGAACGTCATAGCCGAGAAGAAACTGCAATGAAGAGAGAGAGGGGAGAGAAAGCAAAGTGAAAATTTTCTAATAGGTGAGCCCAAGACACACGTGGCGCATAATAAATGGACTAATTTTTAGTTGACTTGGCTACCCCAGTGGTACCTAATATTTTTTCCCACGGACAACTCAACACTCGATTGGCTTACGTGTCGACTAGTTAGGGGAGTTAATGAAGATTGAAGATGTCGTTATACCTTTCTAGACGGAGTCCATCTCAATGCTATCTTACACCAAGATGGTCAACTTAGAAGATGGAAATTTGTCCAGAGGTTGCTTGAGAAGATGGGTTCAACTTGTGGTGCCATGAGCCAGAGAGTTTTGCGATTCTATTCACGTGGCTAATGAAACAACTGCACAAGGAACTTTCTAATATTAAGAGGATGCTATTAAAAGTATTTGAACTTTAGTGCAATATGGCATTTTGACTTTTTTTTTAAATTCAGTTAAGTACCTAAATTTTTTTAGAATGAGCTCGATCTAGTGCTTGATGTTGCACGGATTGCTATGTCATGCTTGTTGTTCTTGCTATCGTGACTTGCCAGCTCAGCAAAAAGTATGCATTCCTATTAATGCAGAGCGAGCTCAATTAAAATGGATTCCTCTTCCATACTAGTGTTACGGTTCCGAGGTTTTCCATGAACAAAGGATCGTGTACGATCCAAGGAGACCGGGTCAATCTCCCAGGGTTTTCTCCGAGTCCACTAAAATACTCCTGGGGACAGGTGATACAACAAATGTACCATATTCTAGAGCGTCCCTGTCATATGGCAGATGAGGATGTGCAATTTTCATCGTTAGATTTAGAGAAAATCTACGGTTGTAATGAGATTGACTCTTGTATAAATAGGGGTGTCCTCCCCTCATTTGTATCCATCCAACATTTGAAACGTTTGAGTAATAAAAAGCATTCTCTCCTAGAGCTTTTCTCTCTACGATCCGGGTGAGTGAGCAATCGATCATGGGGAGAAGGCTTAGTTTAGGCGCCCAACGATTCAAGGAAGCCTAAGTTGCCACATGGTTTTGATCTCAAGCATCGATTCGTAACTAGTAGTATCGGAGCAAAGTAGTGGAGAGTTGTTCAAAGAGATCAAGGAGCACATCAAGTGATTGAGAGAATCTCAAGCCAAGAAGTTGTTCCAGTTGTCGTGGATGGTGAGGCTCCCCAAGACAAGGTCGTTTGAGAGAATGAGACCCGCGAAAGATCCAAGAAGAGCGGAGTTTCGATGGACGTTGTAAAATATGGGTTTCAAGATCAAAAGGTCAAAGGTGGAAAAGCAAAAAAGAAAAAAAACGCGTTGAAGAGTCAACAAATGAAGCAAAAAGACCCACCCATCGGTGGCCGCGTTGGTTTGCGCTCAGTTCCTTTCACGAGAGGTCTTGGGTTCAAACTCGCCCATCGGTGAGGTGATTTAAGTGGGGGGTCGTGGCGGTGGGATGCTGCGCTAGCCCCCCTCGAGGACTAGTCGGGCATCACCGCTGGTTTGAGCCCTAGGTCGCCGGCCGCGCGGACACCTCGATTATCAAAAAAAAAAAATGAAGCAAAAAGTAGTAAAAAGTAGACTTTAGGTTATAAAAGGTCGAGAGCTCGCGTGACAGGCGAAGAAAAGAAGAAAAGGAAAAAGTGATTTTGTGCTACATGCCATGGGAGCTTTGCCAAATCGGAGTTACTTCGTATTGCAACGCCCAGTAAGTACCCGTGCCCCTTGTTCATCTAATCGGAGTAATTTTTGGGGTTATGGCACAAATTTTGGGTTTTGTGATTTTGAATCACGAGATTCGATTATGGAGTCATTGAACTACGAATATATATATATATATATATATATATATATATATATATATATATATATATATATAAATGCTAGTTTAGAGTGTTGCGGGGCTGCGGGATTTTATGAATCTCGATTTGGATTTATGGTTTGCCCGAAATAAAATTTTGAAGTTGGCCGCGAGTGATGAACAGTGCGCGACCAGTGGCTTTTGGACCGAATTTTGAAGGTTTTTGGTTCGGTTTTGGGAAGGCTAAGTTATGGGTCTTATGATGTTCCAAAAGATCTTCCTTTTGACTATAAGCTCGCTTGGATCGGAATTCAGTAGAGAGAGTTATGGCGTGATCAATTTCCGCCCTCAAGCTTCACATTGTGGATAATTTTGAATATCGGCTTCGGTTGAGAGTTTTGCGCGTAAGAGTTGTGTCGTTAGCATTTAAGCTTACTATAGCCGTTTCATAGTTATCATAGTATTTTACTTGGTTTTGACATCAATTCTCGTTTAATTGTTAGGATTACGAAATTATTGACCCGTGTAGCTATGTGTTGTTGGTTTCAGGTATTCCTAGGTGAGTAATATTATCTCTTCTATGAGTTTATAAACTCATGTCATGAAAGTGATAAAAATTTGAGTATTGTACAATCTATTACAGAATTTTTGTTATATAAAAGTCCGGATCGGGCATTTACTGCCTATTAGTATTTGAATGGTTTGAGGATAGTTTTATGAAAAGCATTGTGAAATGACATAATATTCATATGTACTGCTTTGTGAGATGATTCGTGAAATGAGTTTGGGAATTGATTTGAGAAATGCTTTATAAAAAGTATAGCTGGTGGATGAGCTGTGTTCTTGAAAGGTTATTTGTCTTGATTTGTGATATATGTATATATTCTGGATTGGTTTTGTGAATTATTGGGGATGATGGATTGATGTTCATGATTGTTTGGAATCCAGTGAAGAGTTATGGGTATGCATTCCGTACAAGGGCTAAGTGCTACATAATGATGCAATTCTCATGGTAGCCACCTCTAGAGCCTTGTATAATTGATATGCGCAGTATAGGGCTAAGTGCTATACGATAATGTAAATTCGTAGGAGCCGCCTCTAGGGTCTTGTACTATTGATATACGTTGGTAAGGATTAAGTGCTACATGATAACGTAAATTCATGGGAGCCACTTCTAGGGCCGTATACTATTGATATGCGCAATAAAGGGCTAAGTGCTACACAATAATATAAATTCGTGGGAGTCATTTTGTGACGCCTTAGGTACATCAAGCGCTACATGTGTCTTATCTAACTTTTTTCTTATTAATTTATTCGCAAGCGAAAGCACAACAAAATAATTAAACATGTCATATCATTATTTCATATACTGAATAATGTACATATGCATCACTTACATTAAAACATCACAACACAAATACTTGAAAAGGGTTCGATAACTCTTATCTCCACTACCATACCCTCGCTCTCAAAAGCCTGCCTGTACAATACTGATCAAACATTTAAGAATCGATAACCTCTCCCAACATCGGCTCATTGGCAGCATAACCCAGGAGACCATCAAACCCTCGCAACGGTCCTACCCAGATATCATCGAAGATCGCATACCAGGCTACATACTGATGGGGAACCCACTTGGCAAATCCTTTGTCAACCCATACCGTGATAGTACAATTAGTATACATACAAACTAAATCGGGCAACACATCATCCTCGTACATATACTCAGCGTGAACCGGGGCTCCAAAAAGCAGTGGCGGTGATAGGGCCATCCTACACATCTGAAAATAAAGGAGTGAGCTGAAGCCCAATAAATAAAATCTCTAAGTCTAAGGTAGGAATTCACCTTCGCACTCAAACTAACGTTAACATGCATAAACAATCAAACAATACTTAAATGCATGAGCATACGCATTATCATTATCATTATTATTATCATCATCATCGTGACATACACTAGTACATAATATGTTCACTCGATTAAAGGCGGATGACATATTATATCATAATGCACCAGTATCACCTAGTGTCTTATCATCATGAATGTACATATAAACATGAGAATGCATCAAATTCATTATTTCATCATATCCCGATTCGCGGGTCTTTCCGATTCATGGGGCATCTCAATTAGCGAGGCATCATGTACATCCAACGAGGCATCCCGATTCGCGGGGCATCGTCGCTACGATCTCGTAGACGACGGATCATTATCACATAATTATTTACATTTCTCATACACATGCGTATGTTCAACAATCAACATGAGATACTCATATCATTTCCACAATTAACGTCCAACAAATAACATCCTTTCA